AGTGTTTAATCACTTTAGCGTTTTTTAAAATGGTTAAACACTACCATAAATGAAGATTGGTAGGAGATTCTAACCGCCAAAAACATTTGGATAATCATATTGAACAGAAATTCGTTTTAATATTTAATAACCTGTTCTGAAAATTCTTTTTTATCGTAACGAGATTTATTGTGCTGAATAAAACCATTATTATTATTATTATTATTATTATTATTATTATTATTATTATTATTATTATTATTATCATGATGTTTATACAGCCAACGATGTAAATGAATTGATTTTCTAATTGGTAACTGAAGAACTAAGTCATTCCTAATGCTAAAACAATTCCTAGTTTAGCTATTGAACCAAGGACAATTGAAGATCATTTCATATTTTATGACACACTCAATGCAATGATAAGTGAATACACTCACGAAAAACAATCTTGGATTCCCCTTTAAATTATTTTCAAGTTCATAGAAATTAAGATTTTGTCAATAAAAAAGAAAGGATTTAACTTCTATAGATAAAATGCGAGATCAAAGCAATCATCGTTTAAAAATAATAACATATTTATTATAGTGTTGTGTTAATATAATCTTGACTATGCAAAATATCGTAACCAATCATGTAGGTTTCTTTATGTACTCTTGTGTGTGTGTATGTGTGCGTGCACATATATATGCAATCAACAAACATATTAACATGATAACTTACTCCTTTTGAAGATATTTCTGTACAAATTCTTATATTACACTTTATTTGAATTAAACTATTCGATTCTATTGAATATAGTTAATGATCTGAAAATGATTCAGTCAGTCAGTAACAACGTAGAACTTCGTACGTACGTACATCAGTTCGAGTTGCCATACCACATTAGCACAGAGATGCAGTGGTCGATTCAAATCCCGTAGTGGTAGAGGTAATAAGAGTATAAGCAGTAATCGGGAAAATTAGCGTTTGGAGATGTTATTTAAAGAGTATAATACAGCGAAATAAATTTGGGAAGAGAAAAAAGGAGATAAGGAGGAATAAGGAGATCAAAATTTGGGAGAACACAAAGAGTGTATGCACCTGCGCCATTGCAAACGATTTTGAGCCATGTCATTCAGGGTCTCTAACCATCGGTTGCTATCATCTCGCGGTCCCCAATCAGGTAGTCTACACCTACCGACATGACTCAGTCCGCTTGTCAGTGACTTCATGGACTTGTGCCATGTTTTGGTCTGGCCGCCCCTAGCTTTCTTCCAACCTACTCCCATACCACTGATTAATTTTGTATGATAAATAGATGAGTTTAATTTTTAAGGATCATTTCAATTGTCAATTATTATACATATATACATATCAAAGAAATTGTTTTAAATTAAAATTGTAATAAATTTTAAGTCATTAAAATTAATTATTATGTAAAGTATATTTTATTTGTAGATAGTTCTATTTACAGATTTCCATAAGATGTGACACTTAGCAATTCCCTAGTCGTCATTTTAGAACTCTTTAGTAATATGAACTCATGAGTTCACATGAGAGTGAATCAATCACTTTTTATTCATACAGTCAATATGATCAAATTTAGTCACTAAGTCGGATTTGAGGGATATAAAGGTTTATTTTCAAAAAGTCAGAAATATGTTATGTGGGTGGTGTTAGAAAGCTTCACTGATCCTTATTTCCATGTTAGTTGATATTAGTCATTATGGTCTACCTGAAATCTTGAAGGAATTAATGTCCTCTGAGAAACTCTAACCTTTATCATTTAGCTTCATAGTCTGAGACATTATTACTAAGTTATTAGGTCAGCTGGTTAGTCGTAAGCTAACAATATATCACAATGCTCATCCGATATTCTCAGTAGGTAACTACTATCTCACTTCAAATTTGATTGACTTAAATATGACGACTTTGAGCCTAGATAAATAGATGAATGTTTATTTCTTACGAATGAAATACTTGTCAACTGCGCCTTGGTATTTAATTATTCCTCAACAGATAACAGTTTTTATGAAGCAAATTGTCTTCGAAGTATTTATCTAAATGTGAATATATATATATATGCACATTTAGTTTTTGATTGAGATCATGAACTGGTTGATGTTAGACCACCATTAAAAACCTGGAAACACTTGGACGGCTGTTTCTTCCTATTATGGGACCCCTCAGCAGTGCTCATCCTCGATCCCGCTTACGGGTTTCGAACCCAGGGCCTTGAGTATTGCGCGCGAAAGCTTAACCTCTAAACCAGTGAGCCATCATCCAACGGCGTTAATGTCTAATCTCAACCAATCCACGGATGTGCACTGCTGAGAAGTCCCACAATAGGGTTAAACAACCATCTGCTGCTTCCAGGTTTTCAATGGTGGTCTAACATCAGTCAGTTCATGATCTCAATCGAAAACTTAATATAATCCACTACCCCGATACACTGACTATGCATATTACACAAATGATAATCCTAACTACAAGTTTAACTAAACTTCACATTACATATTATATATCATTTCACTAAACCAGTTTTATACTCATTAGCATATTAAATAAATACTATTGTAATATTATCAAATAAGTAGTATGTATACATAGTAAATCCTACTCTCTATATATTTCATTTATCCATGTAATAAATTTAAGATTAATCGGTAAAATTATGTTATCTATGATCTTTTCTTTCATAATTTAATAAATATAAATTGATCATTTTAAGTTGTTTGTTTGTTTGTTTTATGAATCCTTTCAACTATTTATTTCTTGTATTTATTAAATGTTTCATATTATAATACACTGAACACTTTGATGATTATCTATTGACAAGGTTAAGTTCATCAGAATTTCTTTATCCAATGTATCGTCATGACAAGTTACATTTATTTAAATATTCATCTCTTTGTTGTTGATGGCGGTGGTGTATCTTGATTGTTTTATCTTTTCTTAAGTTTAACAATTTCTTATTACATTTTTTTCCAAAAAAAACGAGATTTTCAGATAATTTACTAACTAGATTTTGTTTAAATCATTGATTCAAATCTATTTATACTACTCTTAGTTCTATTTAAATAGATATACCTACTTCGGTTTGGGCACCGGGCAGTATCACACCCCTCATACAAATCAAATGAGATTTTTTGTGGCGCATATGTATCTGGTGCCCCCTTGTACCAGTATTTATGTGTTCAAATAGACAAATAAAAATAAATTTTAAATATAGTGATACATTTTCTACCCGTAAATGCCCTAGTACGGCCGAGAGTGGGGAGAGTCCTCTCCCTCTCAAAATGCTCTCACATGGTCACGCGTTATATCCTCTGCCAGGGAAGTTCTACTCACTGCCTTTTTGTGGCTAAGGTGTTGTTTATGAAATTGAGAGAACGAAAAGCGAATGCCCGGCGTTTTAACCGGGTTGGTGGACATGGAGAGTCCACCTAGGGGAGTTGGAAAACCCAGATTCCAAACTAATGGTGCACATGGGCTACAGGGTCCTGAGGGAACAAATGGCGTATGAACCAATTGTTGGTCACCGGCTTCCATGGGACTGCATCTCCTTACGATGCTCCACTGCCTTGTGGATCGGACCTTCAGGTCGAAGGCTGCGGGTGTGGCTTCCTAAGAAAACCACCTACTTCAATTTGGGCACCTGAGCAGTATCACGGCCCTCACACATATCAAATGAGATTTGTTTGGCGCCTATGTATTTGGTTCCTCCTTGTACTAATATCTATGTATTCAAATAATAAATAATAATAATATTGATTTTCTATTCACTTTCTAGATCTTAAGTGTTTATTTATACTTGATCTCTGTGGAATAGATGTTAAGCAAATATAAAAAGCTTTAATTCAAGGTTTATTTTTGTACAGAAAACAATAGTATTTATAAGTTTATCCATGACCTTTGAATTGTGGAGACATTTTAATCTAATTAGTAAAGTAAATTACCAACCAAATAGAGTTTGACACATTATTCGTTAATTTTCTAGAAGTTTTTATAGTGTATGCTAGTTGAATGGAATGTTCACACTTTTTTCCGGTTTCTAATAATATCATCTAGGAATTTTCACGGAATTCCAATAAAATATTGTATGAAAACAAAATAACGAAGCGAACGTGCTATAGTCTGTATTTATCTTTTTATAGTGTATAATTCAATAATTGATTCATTAAAATACAATGTGTTTGGATTGATCACAGACTATTATCACTAAGGATTCACCAAGATTTTGTGGTATCCAATTAATAGAATAATCTAATAAGGCAGTGTTGAAATTGTATCGCTACTTATAAGCAAGAAGATAAGATTAATCTTCAGTGATGTTCCTTATCTTCACTGACAACAAAAAAGGAGGAGTACTAACTCTTATTGATGTAGATTACTAAATGACTAAGCATTACTAGAATTAACAGATATCTATCAGTAAATTCACTTGCATTTCATCCTTCTCGTATTTGTTTCTTCAGATAATTGAAGAATTTTAATGACAGAGTTTATGGACAAACATCTTAATTGCATCACAGACTGTGTAAGTTAAGATGTCAGAAGTTATTTCATTAAGTAAATACGTTCATAGTTTGGGTTGCAAATTAATATTGACTAAACAACCACTAAGAACCAGGTAGCACTGAACAGCTGTTTCATCCTAGTGTGGGACCTCTCAGCAGTGTTCATCCCCTACCATACTCGATATTGAGCTCAAGACTTTCTGTCTCACAGTAAGCCCTCAACCAACTAGTTCAGTAGTTTAGAGGTTGAGAGCTCGACGTTAGACCTGAAAACCCCGGATTTCATCTCTTGTTATTGGTTGACATGTACTGCTGAGTAATCTTTTACTAGAACAAAACAACTGTCTAGTATTTTCTAATTCTCGATAATTATCTAACTAAGATTAGTTCTTGATCAAAACTATGAACATTCACAAACTTATTATTACTAATAAGTAAGTATTGTTTTCAATAAAAATAATAGTAATAATATTAATATGCTTTAAAAATTTATCTTTGTGATGTTTTCTGTTTTACTAGGGAACCTAACAATCATGAAGCTGCAGCTTTTATTGTCGCATATTTCTCTATTTTAAGTGGATTACCTGTAAAATTAACTCGTAAAGCTGTTATGAAATGTAGAGAAAAATTAGATATTACTAATGAATATGACGTAAGCTAACATATTTATAGAATTTAATACATTTATGATGTAACATATATATATATATACATACTAAACAGTGCTGTAAAATTTGTAGTGTTTTAAATGTCTCTGTGAGATAGTAGAGAAGATTTGTAGCTCAGGTGGATGATTTTGATGGAGTTTTGTTCGCTGTACTGGATGGTTTGGTCCATCCAGCTCAGGGAACAAAACTCCATGAAAATGTCTACGTATCTATTCTTGATTTGGAGCCACATAAAACATAATAAGTTTATGAACATATGCAATTTTCAAAGAAATTCAATAAAGACAAAGGTTAATAAAAAGCTAATTAATACTAAGTCATTACAAATAATTGTTTAATATTAATTAACCTAAAGTTACAAATGAAAACTGATTGAATGATTTACATTGATTGGTTGAAGAATAAATAAATTATCCAATAGGATTATTATCCCTGAATATGGAGTAGTACAAATTAAAATTGGGAATAGAAAAATGTTTTCATTATTTCTATCATCCTCTTCAATAACTGAATATACTGATGATCGATTAATCAATTACTTATCCTTAGTAAATTATGGTATTAACTAATATATTAGTGTTGTATAAATAGCATAACTTCCTAATTGTAATTTACAGATAACTCCCGTGGAAAAAGAAATAGGCCTATGAATAGAAATTATGATAATTTATCCATTGTCTTTGGTGAATCAATTTACAGTGTATATACAATATTCCTGATAATTTCTCATCGAACAACGATGCTTTTTTTCAAAGATCACTTAAAAACTTGCTTGATACTAATTGTTTTTTTACGATTGTGTATATGAGGTCTTTAACTTCAACCTTATGTTCGATCACAATAACAAATTCTTAGTAGAAGGTTTGGAGTATTGCAGTAAAATAGTTAACTTTTTCAGTTTTTAATTTGTGAATATTTAAAAACAATATGTAACAGAAAGTTTTTAGCAATGATTAACTACTATTTATGTTCATCCGTAATTGTTTATGGCGAATCTTGTTACTATGGAATCTTTCCATAGGTGATTAATTTAATGTAAACATTCTATAGGAATCCTCTCTTGTTCCTTCAAACAACAAATAAAAAAGAGGAAAATAAATAAACCACTGAGGTGATACTCCTTGAGTTTTTTCCAGTAATTAGATTCGCGATAGGTTATAAACGTGTTGTGACCCCAAATAACTATATGTAGTTAGCAAACATACAGCTTTCAGGTGAAATATGATTAAAATTTGCTGAGAAAAGTCAGTAAATATAATGATGTACTATGGATCGAATGAATGTTCAGTATTTGATGATAACTTACAGGAATATGTCATCATTTTAATCATATCCTACCGATAATGTCAATGATAACAAAGACGAATTTAACTTGTAAGTAATTGTCAACATTGAGTTAATTCTCTAAAGATATACATATACCAAAAGAGATTGACCAATTACAATCCTTAATATCAACATTAAAGTAACTCAAACACTTATAAATAATTTAACATGCGTTAAGCAAGTTTGTTGTAATCTGAACTTAGTTTCTCAGTAGATGATGAGTTGGCTTTCGAATTGACAGAAACTGGGTTTGAATCAGATCATCACGGATACATGTACATCTGACGAATTATAAATACGACAAAACGTCCTCCCTCGACTTCACTGCTAGACACTATATAACCTCACTTAAACTTGTGATTTAGTGGTATTTCAAGGCACTCACCCAGGATATACATCTTTCATTAGGAACGGATCAATTTCATTCCTTATTAGTTAATAATATGGAAATACAAACCCGTACAATCACTAAGTTAATTGTATCCTAGAATCCTTGCTAAAATAAATTGTTTTTAAGGTAATTCTTCAGGTAATAATTTATCACTGACTTACATAATGCGCAAATGAATTGGAATCGTTATATTACTGAAATTTTACATACTATTGAGATTCCTTACTATCGGTTGTTTGAATATCCCCACTGATGTTTAGGACTGAAATTAGTTAGTCTCTTTCTTGGTATACATGAATACTGTGAGAATTGCCTCGATATTCCTGTTGAATCATTAGCATTTTTAAGCAAGTTGTATTTTAGATAGCACTGGAATCCAGGACACGTGTTTCTTCCTATTAGTGACTTAACGGCTGTTTGAAACGGCCATGTAGTGCTCCCAGGTTTTCAACAGTTTTCTAACTTAGATTAATTCATAATTTCAATGAAGCTCAACAATCTTCGCAACCGTATACTAACAGATTTGTCTTACTTCCTTTTTATTAATAGCCTTTAATTGAATCAATGCAAAATTCGACTACAGCAAAAGAATTACGTAATGATTTATTCAAAGGTATATCTGGTTATACAGAAGATAGATTAATTGAAGATTTACGAAAAATTTATCAATTAGCTGAATTAGATCCACCAACATCATCAGAAATTTATTTAGAAACAAGACGTGAAAGTATAAAATTAGAATCAACTACACAAAATTCATCTAATCCAATTTTTAAACGTTTATCCATTGATAAAAGTAAACAAGAATCAAATAATCAAACAAATATTAGTTCATCTAATCTACGTGATAAAACACCAGAACTAGTTGTCCATGAATATGATAATAACAATATTAAACAAGATCAACTGATGAATACTTCAATAAATTCTTCAATGATTACACCTCATCATTCAACTGATCATAATATTTCTGTATTAAATGATGCTAAACATGATCTACATCAAATTGACCAAATCAATAATAATACAATTCAAAATGGTACTAAACAAACTTCATATAATCATGATAAAGAGATTAAAACAAAATTACCAGATCCATTATATAATACCGATATGATTACTACTAATAAAATAAATTCTCAATCATTCATTAATAATCATGAAATTCATCATTCTAATAGTATGAATAAATTAAAAACCAATAAAGTAACAATTATTTATGCTCTATCACATGAATCTACAGAAGCTGATGCTGTGGAACAATATTTAAATAGTACTAGTGCAGATGAACGTGATAGATTACGTAAACGTGTAATAATTACACATGCTTATTCAAAAGTTGACAATTCTATGGATCATATATAGAAAATTGATAATTCAATTAATCAATTGAATATTGAAAATAACATACTACATATCATCATACGTAATTTTTCTTTTAAAAGAAACGCTCTTTTTTTCTTTTCTTTTTTTTATAAACAAAAAAATCTATATATGATTAGTGTCGTTAATATTTATGATAGAAAATTATCTTCATTTCTTGTTATGAACTAATTCAGTTTCTATATCTTTTTATATTTATTATTATTATTATTATCACTATGACGATTATGATTAACGACAAGTTTTTTTTAAAAAAAAAGAAACAAGCACTTCTATTGATCAATACAAATTTGTTTAAATCGTTCAAATGTTTTATGTTACATTTTTTTTTTTAAAAAGAAAAGAAAACGCAACGTCCATATTTGGAAAGTTTGTTTGTTTGCTTGTTTTTGTTAAAAATGATAATTAGTACCAAAAAAAAGTGAAATTATTTTTCAAAGTTAACACTATGGTTACTTTTTAAAAGAAAACCTTATGAATGACATGAATATTTATTAAGCATAGATTGATGTTTTCTTTTTTCTTTTTCTCTCTCATGAAATAGTATATTATAGTGACTTGTTTTAATTCATTTACTTTATCTCTATGATTACGTAAGTATATTCATATTTCTTAAATAAGTATTAGATGTTAAAGAAATTTACAGAGTTAATTTATCATAACTATAACATTTAAGATATCTAGATTTGATTGATGATTGATGAATAACAACTGGAAAGGATTGCTCAGGACAGGGTTAGATGGAGAATGCTGCTGAGCAGCTTATGTTCTTTCACGAGGAGTAACAGGTGTAAGTAAGTAAGACTTGATTGTGTTAGATGATCGGTCGATGATTGGCAATAAGCAATGTGAATTGATGTTGTGCTATTTGATACTTCAATAGTTGAAATCATGAGTTAGTTGAAACTAGGCCACCATAGAAAACCTGAAATCACTGGATGGCCGTTTTGTTGTAGTATGGGACTTCTCAGCAGTGCGCATCTACGATCTCAACCCCATGGGATTTGAACCCAGGACCTATCAGTCTCGCGCGTGAGCGCTAAATCACTAGACCATTGAGCTGGCCGGCATCCCACGTTGTTAATATCTAACTTCAACCAATCCATGGAATTGAGTCACCGTACACCATTGTCTTCAATGAGTTGATATCCCCTTCTAATATTTGATATTTATCAATGTTATAGTTATATCTTCTTTTTACTATTCTTTGAATTTTGTTGATCAAGTTGTAAAATGATCATTAATTTCAACGGATCGATATCATTTGAAATAGGTTTTGTCAGTAGAATTCTATCCATATTGACGAACAGAAAAATGCACAATAATTTGCTTTTCATTAGTTATCAATCTATTCGATCATGTGAGCAGTCGATATTGGAATGAAATATACGTTATTAAATTTAGAAATACATAAAAATTTCCGCAAAGTCAGAAAAACTATTTGGTGTTAGCATAGTGATTTATAAAGATTAATGGATGTTATTGGTATCACCAAAGTTTGATATTCATTGAATAGTTATTTTATCATAATATAGGATTCATCAGAAGCGCTCCCCACGGCCTCACTGGGAATTGAACCCAGTTGTCCAACAAAGACACGAGATGATCGTGAATTCATCGAAGTTACGTATTCTTATCTTCACATCGCTGATTATTTATACATGAAACACGAGGAGTCACTACAATTCCTATGACGTGAAGTAAGAACACAAAAAACTTGCACAAGTAAACAGTTATTCACCCCGTAAACACCAAGATGATCATGGTCGAAAAATACACTCATTTATATATTGTTTTGTCCACCCATCTAATTATTAATTAAGAGTTAGTCACATATATAAAATTACAATAAAATCTCATGTTGCATTACATAATGAACATAATTCACATTAATTTAATACAAAGATTATTGTATCTGCAATAAACATCAAACTTAAATAAATTGGTGTTATTGATGAGTAAAATAGCACACTGATATTAAAACAAATATTACACAGAGTAATCAATAAATTGAATTAGTAACTTAAGTAATGTTGAACCAAAAGTCATATTGAGTTAAAAAATTGTTTTTTGCATTTTCAACCCGTCATATCAGATATACATACTTTTGTGTACCACTCCAGTAGTCTAAAGCTTAAGAGTTTACCATATGAGACCGAAGGCTTTGAGCTCAGGCCCCGGTAGATGCGCACATCAGGGGAGTTCCATGTCAGTAAGAATTAGCTCCCCAAATATCCTCTGTTTTTTCAATGGGTTTTTTAATTTAGTTCAGTTTCCGAAATCAATAACATTCAATTATTTGGTGTTTTTGAAAGTCACATCTCCTATTTCTGAAAGTCTTCAGTAATAACCAAGAAATTATTTCGATAAAATGTCATTTTAACATGAGTCACGGTAAAATAACTAGGATAAAAAATAACTGTGAGATGTTTCGAGCCTCTTTATAAATATCAACATTGAGTTACAGGTAAATTCAGCCAAAATGTTCCAAATAGGACAAAACGCACTTACTGAACTCTGCTGTAAGCTACTATCCAACCTCTTGACTAAATGATAATATCAAGGCAATCTACGCAAGATGTATTTAAGCAAAAATTGGCTGATCAGTTACGGTTCTTAACACTAATCACGAGAAAATAAAAATCCTTACAACTGTAGTAAAATGTTTATATTTTTACATTTATACAATAATTCAGGGTTAAGTTAAATTTTTAAATTAGGTTGGATACGTCACTTCATCTAACTGAACACCGGATCGATACCATACCTAGAACTAGTCTTTTCTCGTTGTATTCACTGTTTATTCTTGTATACTTTAACTAACTGGTTTTCTGATAAATTTAATGTAACTATTCCACTGAGTAATGATAATACAACCCTTTAATAACAAGTTACAATGGGATGGATATCATGAAGTGAGAATTTGTTATATATATTTAAGTGGTAAACTCGATCCAAACAGCTCATTCTAGATAATAATGTTATATCATTTTCAGTTGTAAAACAATAAACCACACATTGTTTTTTTAAATCATAAAGTGTTATTTATAAGGCATGAAGATAATCAATTTTATATGGTAGTTATAACGTTAAAGATGTGCACGTCAGACTGGCCTTACAACTAACATAAAAAAGTATACCTTTTTACATGTCACTTAGTTTTCATTTTATTCTTATCGTTAGCAAACATAAAGGGCGGCCTGCTTGAGCATCTGTGTTACCTGTTCCTGCCATCTAGATATTTCAACAAGTTATCTATTTTTGTTTGTTTTAATATATCATTATGTTTATTAATCGCATAACCTATTCTGCTGCGTTTCTGAAAAGTGTACAACCTTTCGTTGTCAAAGTTACAAAAAACTCAATAAGAGACAATGTAGTTGCTGGTAATATACAACGAAAAGAATGTACATTAATCAGATGTTCATTTACTGAACTGCTAACATCTAACTGGCGATCACTCGATATTTATCTCCAGGACCGACCAAGAAGAAAGAAACGGAATCTTGTTGAAATACTTTGCGCTGAGAATTCTATATTGTACCAAACATATAATATTGAATAAAGCTAATGATAATAATAATAATAATTTTATTGGCTTAAGTAAGAATAATTAATGAAGCAGAATAACATGAATTCTTTATATTTCGCGGTTCCTTATCAGTTACTTACAACTTAAATATAGGTAGTATTAATCATTAAAAATCAGTGTACATACTTTATAACATAATTCATAACTCTTCTGATATTATGTTGAAAAGTATGTACATTGATCTTTGAAGATTAAATTGTAAGCAGCTGAAGAGAAACCACGAAATATAAAGAGTACATGTTATCCCGCTTCAATAATTATTCTTGCTTTAGTAAAAATTAAGAATGGGAAAAATTATATGAAATTTTAAATTCACATGGTATAGTTTACTTGGATCTTTCCATTGATATTTAGGACTGCAATTGATCAGTCTCTTATTGACGTATGTGCTTACTGTGCGTATTACCTTAATTCACATGCATTATAAACAAAGATGGATAGTGGCTAGCAGTGGAATCCAGCATGCGCGTCTCTTTCTATTTAAGACACGTTGGCTGGATATACTTGCATACCAGAGTTGAGTTCATTCCAGGGCTCGAACCCAGTACCGTTCGCTCCAAACGCCATCGCGTTATCCACTTATTGACTGAGTCCTGACAGCCACTCGCTTGTACGATGGGGTGTGAGTGGCTATCAGGATTCAATAGCTAGGTAGATAACGCGATGGCATTCGAAGCGAACGGTACTGGGTTCGAGTCCCAGAGTTGACATCCGCTCTAAGATGCAGGTACATCCAGCCAATAAGTCCTAAATAAGAAGAAACCTACGTGCTGTATCCCACTGCTAGCCATCATTCATCTTTGCTTATATGAAATTTTATTGTAACTCTTTTTACTGTCGATAAACAGGGTTCTTTCGACAAACATATTTGCTCATAACGAATTTAGATTGTATGGTTTAAACAGCTATAACACAGTGTCATAATTCTTTCCATTTTCTATCTACAATGCCACCTAATAAAATATGTATTGGTAGTCTTGGAGAATAAAATTTGATTATTAGTAAGAAGATGGAATTTGTGTAGATTGTTGAATTTGCATAGTTTTTACCATGGACTGATCTTAACCAGACAACTATTAAAAACCAGGTTAGTTCAATGTAAGCTATGGAAACTCCAAATTCCTGGTGTTCTAGTGAAAAGTCATGACTAGTGGAGCTCAACCATTTCTAATGCAAGACAGTTATCCTTCTCAAGATAGTGAAAGATCATTTGGCAATATTGTAAATTGATTAGCGCTAGACATTTACACCATTGTATTCCAAAACAGTAGTCCAAATTCTAAGCACTAACCCTAGGAACTGAATGTTATTTATTCTATCTCTTATGGGATCGTGAATAAACACTGCTAGGGAGTCTTAAACGAGAATGATTGTTAAGTAATTGAATTGTTTTCTTATCTATATGAAACAAGAAATTTACTGGTTTACATATGAATAGTTTTGAACGTACACATAAAATCATTTTCAACTGAACTCTCTACTTTTTAGTATACTCTCAACTATAAAAGGTTAATAAATTTTATCTGTAAAGCATCAATAATCATCTTACACTGTTTAAATTCATTTCTTATAGAGAGAGAAATGGTCATTTAAACAAAACCATATTTCACATTTCTCACTTGTTTCAATTCACATATACTTTTTTATTGTATCAGTGAAAAAAATAGTGAAGAAAAAAAAACACAAAGTAACATTTAAATATTGTTACAATTGATTGATTCATTGAATAAGGAATGTGTAAGTTACTAATCTGTGCTGTTAATAATATGAGTTGAATAAAATATGAAGTACATAGATCAATTCTATAACATTTTTTTCAAATATCAATGATTTATTTTCAGAAGGGGGGGGTGTATAGAGATTTTAGTCATTTAATAGTTGAGTTCATGAGTTAAAGTTAGACCATAATGAAAAATCTGAAAGTATTGGATGGTCATTTTATCGTAGTATGAGACTCCTCAGTAGTGCGTATCCACGATCTCGTCCGCGGGATTCGAATTCAGTACCTATCGGTCTCATGTGCGAATGCTTAACTTCTAAGTTGTTCAGTGTTTCCAGGTTTTTCATTGTTGTCTAGTTTTAATTGACTC